TTATTAGGTAGATTTATCTCTCTAACACCTTTTAAAAAGCTTGTAGGTAATTTTTATGATGATGTTTTCATGGATGAAACAAATAGTTAAGGTACAAATTGCAACTTTTGAACTAAAAGAAGTAATTTTTTTTAATAAAGGGTAATTTAAAGATTAATTTGACACCATTTCAAACATATATCGTTTATTAATATAACATTAAAACAAATTTACCTACAATCAATTAATCCTACTAATATTTACACCAATTTTAACCAATAATTCTATGTATAAAATTATATGACTCTTGTTTTAAAATCATTAAAAATCACAATCGTTAGTAATTCAAGTTGAATTGGGCTAAGAACTTTGTAATTAAATAAGTTGATAGAAAGAAACATTAGAAATTACAACCTGGTTTATTTAACTTTAAACCAATAAGAAAAAAAAATTTTACTTATTTATTTTGATGGATTTTAAGCAAGGGCGGAAGCCGGTAATGAACTATGTTTCGGTTTCATTTTGTTTATAAATATTTTAATACATCCGTTATAATCAGCTGAAACTAAAACATAACCCCCACATCCTTTTGTGCGTTGTTCAACAACAGGATCGTTTACTTTTTCATTGTTTGAATTTTCTTCGTTTTGATTTTTCTCTTCATCAATCATTTTGATGATCGCATCGGGATTAGGTGCAAAAATTGCGCAAGTCACCACAGCATTGTGCGCTTTAATCGCTTCCCAAAAATCGTTTCGATCTCTTCTCACCGAAGAGAATTTAGAATAATCATGATTAGTTCTCCAAATATAAATATCTCGATTTTCTGATCCGCTTACGATGTATTTCCCATCGTGACTAAAACTGGCTTTAATTTGACTACTAACGTTTGCGTAACCTTTATATTTACACGATAAATTTAAATCGCGTAAATCGTAAAGTCTTATCCGACTATCGTTGGATGTAATTAAAATTTTATCTTCCCCAGGCATCGATTCAATCCCGCTAATTTTTCGACCTGTTGAATTACGCCCCCGACTCGATTTTACGTGAATTTGAGTGTGATATTTTAAATGTTCCGTTGTGTAAAAGATACATCGACCATCGTATGATCCAATTACAGCAAATTTTCCATTTTGGCAGAAATTTGCTGCTGTTATCAATTTTGGATTACCTTCAACTTCGGTCCAAACGGCTACTTTTTTATCTGGAATATTCCACAGACGGATTTTCCCATCTAAAGAACCACTCAAAAAATATCGATCATCTCTCGGATGAAAAACGATCGCGGTTACAAAATCAATATGTTGGAAGCAACAAAGACACTCTTTACGAGATATGTGCCATAACCTGACGGTTTTATCCATGGATGATGATAAAATGAAATAATTTTTGGACCAAGAAACGTCTAATAAATCGGAAGTATGTCCGGTGTAGGTACAAAATGGTTTTGGCATAAAAATTAATTTATTTGCTTCGTCGGAATTTAAAGCATCCAAAGCTGCTAATCCGGAATTATCTGAAGAATGATGGGAGACTAAAGATTCTTGTGATGGTGTTGGAGAAACTTTTTCTGCGTTATATTTTGTACGCATATCCTTTAAATTTAAATAGGAAATTAATTAGGAAATTAATAAGGTTAGGGAGTAACTTACTTGAAAATAAGTAAAAGCACTTTTAATAACAAAAATCCTTAAAACTTTATCTTGCCCAGCCGTAGCTAAAAGTCTCCCACATTGAGAGAATTTCATGCACCAAATTGGACCTTCATGTTCGTTAAATTCTTGAACATGTTGGATCTTTTCGAATTCATATGGTCCTTTATGAGAATTTGACGCTTTTAATTTAATGTTTTGTTCCCCTGGGTGAACCTCATCCACCAAATCAACAACATCTTCTTTATGGCGAGCGTGAGACACCTCTTGGGCGATACTTTTTGCTTTATCAACAGTTTTACGAACTGTAGAACCCAAAAATCTTTTAATCCTTTCGGTTCTTCTACGAACTTTACCTAAAAAAATTTTTTTTGATTCATTAATTTTTTTGAATTAATTAATTTAATTACCAATTTCAACATCGTTATAATCACCTAACGGAACTGTTTGTTTACTAGAAACCGATTCCTCGTCGGATTCCTTTTCTTTTTCCATACTTGAACTGCTTACATACTCAGATGTTAACCTCATTATGTGTAAAGATAGGGGGTTTATGCATTGTGGTAGTTTATCTTCGGCTACGCTTAAAGGGATTCGTTCTCCGGTGTCTAGGTTTAAAACGGTAACTTGTTCAAGAATTTCAAGGTCGGTTAATTGTTTTCCAGAATCAGTTCGGGTTCGAACGGATAAATTTATTTGTTTGAGCATGTTTTCATCTCCCGCCGATCGGCGGCGAACTTTTAAAGCGGGTTTTTTATTTGTTGTTCGATGTGGGCCCAAACTATAATGACCAATACTGCTTCGAGAAGCTGAACCTCGAGATGTTTTATTACTCTCTTCATTTTCCTTAAAATAATTAATTTTATTTAAACTTTCGAGCGGGCGAACTCGATTTTATAACATTAGCGGGCGCGTGTCATAAATTTTATAACATAATTTTATTACATATGACGCGCCCTGTATATAATATAGTCGATTCCGTTTAATTGGGACACCGATTAATCGGGACAGCCGCTTATTTGGGACAAATTTCAAAGAACGAAATCGAAACTTTAATTTATGCATACTTCGCTTTATTGAGACAAATGGCTCGATCCCGATGTGTCCCAATTAAGCGGAAACGACTGTATATACAGGGTGCGGCAAAACTCCCTCCCTAATTTGAAAGTTGAATAAAAACAGATGGTACAAATTAACGAAACTGTATTAACATGAATGGAAAATGCAGAATGGCAGGTTAGGTTATTATGTTTTACAAGTTCCTCTTTTTGAACAATATATCGCTCAAGTGTTTTCCTTCTTTTCTTCTTCATTTCCTTCTTCATTTCTTGAGGAATACAAGCAATGTCTTCTTGAATCGTTTGTCGCAGGGCTGGCAGAGTCCTCGGATGATGTTTGTAAACTTCAGTCTTAAGAAACTACTAACTAGTGGATGTTCGCGTAAAGACATCATCAAGCGTTCTGGAAACAGCAGTCTCAGTTCTTGAAGAGATCGCACGCTTGTCTGAGCAGTGACCCCGTCCTGCTGAAGCCACACATCCTGTTGAACTGTATCGCAGTGAATAGTGGTGCCATAAAAGTTTGAAGCATTTGAATATATCGATCCGAGTGAACAGTCACTGCCACTCCTCCTTCTTCAAAAAAGTACGGGCCGATGATCCCGACACTGTTAATCACTCACCACACGGTAACACGTCTATACGCTTTTCATGGAGTTCCCCAGGGTTTTGTGCACTCCAATAACGGTAACTTCCGAACTCTCATTCGGCAATGTATTGATAACGAAGAAAAACACTTGAGCGATATACTGTTCAAAAAAAGAAACTTGTAAAACATAATAACGTAACTTCCCATTCTGTAGATTCCATTCGTGTTAATACAGTTTCGTTAATTTGTACCATCTGTTTTTTATTCAACCTTCAAATTAGGGAGGGAGTTTTGCCGCACCCTGTACATTTAATTTTTGTTTCTATTTGCATTCTGCATCCTTCGATAAAACTCCTGAAGTGAGTAAAGTTCATTTTCTAACAGCATTCTCTTCACTTTCCTTTGAAATATTTTTCCCTACAGTTTCCTTAACCTCAATGGTAAAGTGTTATATAAGTTTTTAATAGTTTTATTTATAAGTATATGAGTTTTTTCTCTGTTTAATTGTAAATAATTCGACTTGAACCAATTGTTGGCTAGATCTACTGTTTTTTTAGTCTTTTGATCCAGGTTCTGAAAATCCTTTGAAGTATTTATAAAACTGTCAAAACAATTGGTTGCCATGGTTACGCACTGCTACTGCTATTTTCTATATCAAATGAATGGGAAATAATGAAACTTTAAATTAGTTTTTCTCGAAATTTTCTTATGTAACCGATATTAATATTTATTGTACATAATTCAGAAAAAAATCCTCCTTCAAATTCCTATATAAAAAAAAATGGGGTGTCTCATTTAAAAAAAAATTCGATGACGTCATAACTCGTTTAAAAATGGCGGAAAAAATTTAAAATATACACCAAAAAAATGAAAAAAATTTAAATCTTTAGACCCATTTCAGCGATTTTTTCATTAATTATTTGTAATGATTTTATCGAATTTATCCGTTACTTTTGAAACGCACTGTATAACTCGATTGAAATGTACAGGTTTCCCAAAACTCCCGGGACATAGCTATAAGTTTTGAATGAGTGAAGAAAAAAATTTGAAAATTAACTAAAGAGTCATAGAAACTACATTCTTAGATCAAGTGGAAACCAAGTGGTTCCAAGTGTACGTGTCGTATGCTCTAATGGTATTGACAATAAGTGGTTCCAATAAGATGGTGCTCCTCTACATTTTAGTCGCGCAGTCCGAGACTTTTTAAGCCGTTTGGGTCATTCCGAGATCGAAGAAAGTCGACAATTTGAACATTTGTTATAAAAATCGTAAAAACGTGCAAAAAACATTTTATTTCCCCATTTGGTAGTCAACCCCTCATAATTCTTGAAAGAATTAAGATATCGGGTTTGGGTTTATGGGATTGTAGTCTATTTAAAAATGTAGGGGTGGTCATCCTCTAAAAAAATTGCACATTGCATGGAAGTTCTAAACTATCTAAGAATGTAGTTTTTATGACTCTTTAGTGATCCCCAAATTTTCAAATTTTTTTCTTCACTCGTTCAAAACTTATAGCTCCGTCCCGGGAGTTTTTGGAAGCCCTGTATATAAACGCACCTTGCGATTTCTGCACTCTGTGAAGAGATGGTAATAAATTATCTGCAAAATGCGTGTCATAATTATTGTGCGAGGCTTTATTTCTCACGAATGTTTCTCTTTGTTTGTGTACAAGCTGGAGGAGGCAAGCGAGAATAAAACATGATGGTATTGTTAAAATGTTTAGTGTCCTCTAAACTTAGCTGCTTCAAAATTCTTATTGTCTTTTTTGCAATTTAAAAATCTCTTTGGACTCTCTTGATGCACCCCATGTGAGTATTCCATATACTGCCATACCAGGAAAGTACGCAAAATGTTTCTTAATTCTTGTTGGCAATATAATGAACTCGTTAATTTCTTTTTTAATTCTATTATGTGGTTACCCCAAGAAAGGGTTTCAGATAATGTTACACCTGGAAATCTTGTCGTTCATTTTTACATCTTGTGTTTTTCTCTCATAAAATATGAGTTTTTTCCCTGTTTAAGTGTAAATAATTCGATTTGAACCAATTGTTGGCTGTATCTAATGTTTTTTAGTCTTTTGATCCAGGTCCTGAAAATCCTTTGAAGTATTTATTAAAGAGGTGTCATCAACATAATATAGACACATAGAGTCCTCCGCCTGTATATTTTGAGGGAAATCATTGATATACAGTAAGAATAATCGTCGAAATCTGCACCAAAAAATTGCAAAAAATTTAAATCTTTAGAGGGATTTTTCCATAAACCGTTTATTATGATTTTAACGCCTATATCCGTTACTTTACTGACACACTGTATATAATCGTATAAATTCCAAGCAATTGAATATTTTTTAAAGTTTAAGTAAATTAAATTCTTCACCTGTTGTTTGAACTGGCAGAGCTTTACATAAAATTTTCCTTAAAAGACGATATCTAACGAAAACTAACAAAATTGCTAATCCAGCCACATTTAGCGTGTTTCAAACGATTCATTAGTTCCGCTTTGCAGAAATCTGACATGCCTTTAATTCGTTGTATCAAATAATGGGACAAGGTCAATTTTGCTTGCAAATTTTTCACCAATCATGGATGTGATTAAATCTTCTGCACAAAGTTTAATCAATTTTTCTGCATCGCCTTGTTTAGCTATGCGCCAACTAATTAAATACGACGCTTTTAGTACATTTTTATTATCATTACGAACATACCTTTCAAAGGTATTCCTTTTCTAATTTAGTTCAATACATTTTCTTTTAAAATATTCGCTTTTACAACATTTGCCACGCCCAATTAAATTGTTTTATTGTGTTCTATGCGTTTGCTGTGTATTTTTAGAGGTTATATCGTAGACGTATACGTATTAACTTTAAAAGAAAATCTTAATGTCTATCACATAACCTCTAAAAACACACATCAAACTTATAGAACTCTATGACAGTTAACTGGGCGTGGCGAATGATGTGACGTAAAGTGCGGGCAACCAACTCAACAAAACAACGATGGATGTAGCAGTCCTGTTAGATACTACTGTCTTTGGTTTTGAATTATAGTAAGAAGTGTTGTAATTGTTGATTTTTTTTTCTGTTATTATCCGTATTGATACTTCGTTATTAATTTTTTTTCCGTTATATGTTTTATTATTGGTGCTATTGAGATTGCTCTATATTTATTTTTATCATTTGGATCCCCTGGTTTTTGAATGGGAATGACTCTAACATACTTTAATTCATTTCTAAAAGTTCCCTCTCTTAAGCATTTGTTTAATAATATACAGGGTGTCCCAGACCACCCGTACCAGCCGATTTATTCGGAAACGGTGAGTCCTAGAGAGTTGAAATAAAAAATTCGTCAACTAAAGCAGACACCCTCCTTCTAGATAGTGTGTTACGACCGACCAACAACAACCGGAAGTGG